CTCTGGACACCTAAGATGGACAGGCATCTTCCAAAATAGTAACCTCTGGTTCAGGCAGCGCCGTTCGCTCCCGCCTGTGAGGTTGTATTCAACTTGAGCTTCTTGTACACACAGGGCCAGCGAGCTTCTCCCCGGTGGGAAGGCAGGACCCTCTTGGTCCCAGTGTGTCTGCTGGCTCTGGCCAAGTGGGAGCACTTGGGGAGACTGTGCCCCTGCCATCCCTTTACATTTACCACCTTTGAGACCCCGGGGCCACTGAAAAGCAAGGATATCTCCAGGAATCTGGGGCCACATGAGGATGAGCATGGTAGCCAGGTAGCCTCAGCCCCCAGCTAACCCAGGACCTGAGACACCCAAGCACCTCTGAGAGCACATATCAGATGCATGGCGGGTCCAGCAGGTCCTGGCCTAGTCACAAATGGAAACAGCCGTTCCTCCCATCCTCCCGCACCCAGGGTTATCAGGTTCTGTTGTGGACTGATGGCTGAAGACAAAGCCAGCCACAAAGACTGGATCTTCCCTCCGGACAATGGGCCATCCCCCAATGGCTGCTCATCCCAGCTCCCAGTCGTCCTCTGCTACCTTCCTCACGTTGTGGAGGAGAAAGGTAACCGTGGTGATTGGGTTTCAGAGAGGACACTGATGTCCAGGCCCAGCAGGGTTCCCGCTCCACAGACCCTCCCATGAGCTGCAGAGGCTGCCATGGGCCCCACACAGGCCAGGCAGAGGGCCTAGGCAGGCTGACCCGAGGCTGCTGCCCCTGCCTGTGTGAGGAGCCATGAGGTCACTGGCAGGATTAGGATTAGGGACAGCAAAAGCGATTAGAGCTTGCCCTCCTGGGTACAGCGGGTAGAGGTTTCCAGGTCAGAAACTGTATATCCCGTGGGCGCCTGCTAAGAAGAAAGGGAGCATCCCCAGTGGGCAGCCAAAGCCCAGACTTTGCACCCTGGAGCTAAGTGGTGCACACGGGAAGCCTCTTCTGTGAGGTTCTCAATCGAGATTGGGGCATTTCAATAGGCCCCATGCCTTTCCCACAGGGAGCCCAGGGCCCTAGCCTGCATCTCTGCCCCTGAGGAGTATCCATGTTCCCTGTCACCATCTCACAACCCTAGAGAACTGGAGGAAAGGGCGGCGCCTGGGAATTGAAACCTTATCCCAATCCCAAGGGATAATTGACCCAACAGAATCATAGACTGTATAGGCATCCCAGAGTCAGGTCCTTCATCCCACAAGGATGCCGAGTTCTCAGAGTCAGAGGGACTAAACAGGATGAGAAGCAAGACAGTGCCCATGTGGGGCCCAGACATCGGCTCTGGCTCACGGATGGACTCGGTTCACCTTGCCTCCATGGACTCAGGATGTGAGCCCATGGGGTGAATACAGGGACTTTGGGTTAGCCATCTCCTGCTGATGGGTGGAAAGGGATTTTCTGGCCCTAGATATAGTTGTGGTAGAACTTCACAGGAAACGTGACCATGTCTGGCCTTGACAGGGTCAGCCAAGCTTTTCCTACTCCTCCCCCACCTTTCCCTCACCACTCCCCCTTGATGGGCCCCAGGTCTAATCCAGCTTAGTGAGCACATCCCTCAGGGCACTGCCCAGCTCAGCATTCCGGGGCAGCAGGGCCAGGATGAGGCCTGCCGAAGGCCAGTGGCAGCAGAGAAGACCCTGGGAGTTGGGGATGGATATCAGGTAGGTGTGTTGGGGCTGGGGGAGGGGGGCAGATGGACATAGCCCGTCTGTGGCAAGGAGCCCCGCTGGTGCAGTGACAACAGCCCTCAGTCCACCTTGGTCCAGCCAAGTGAGCCCGACAGAATCACCTGTGACACCCTGGGATCTACATGTTCCCCTTCTAGTCACGTGAGGTTCAAATGAGGCCCAGCTATCTGTGAGGCGTCTGACTCCCTGTCTGTTTGCCCTTCTGCACTCATGGACCCTGAGGTAACTTCAAGGTAGACTGAGGTCACATATAGCCAGGGTATGTCCAAGCAATCTGCTGCCCTGTTGAGGCAGCCCTTCCCCCTGAGGTCAGGGCTGGGACCTGCCGCTTAAAGATTACTCCCAGCATCTCCCACAGGCTCCATTCCAGCCTTGGGAGACCAGTGGATCCCACAGTCTGTGCCATCAAGATCTTTGGGGACAGCAGTAAAGACCCAGCTTCACAGCATAAACTAGCAGCACTGGTTCTGTGCCCTGGAAATCACATAGGTGACATACACAGGACTCAGACCCCAGCCCTGCACACACACCCCTATGGCTATGGATAAGCCCATGTTTTCCCCCTTGCTTGTGCATGCTAGAAAAATGGCTTCCTCGGTGCTTGTGAGAATGCCCTGTCCATCTCTAAGCTGAGGAAGGGCTGCCAGGCCAGGAACTTGTGGGAATAAACAGGTGGGGAGTTCATGGCGGGCAGAAAGGCTAACTGTGCGTGAGGCACACGGGCAGCCCAGGAGATGGGTGGGGAAGCCTTCTTTTGCTTTGAGGAAACCCACACCACATGACCTCTGATGTGAGCTTATGGGATTTATTGCCATGACCTTGAGCTACCATCTGATGGTTGTCATGTGCCTCCTTCATGGGTCTTGTTTTAAATTGCAAGAGTTAGGTGAGAGGGCACAGATCCTCCTCTGTGCTGATGCTCATTGATGATAGGACCATGCTAGGTCCCTATCAGGAAGCCAGGAAGGTCACCAAGGCTCAGGCTGTCCGTGGAGTGTTAGAGACAGCTGAAAACAAGAATGGCGTCTGATGCCGAGCTGTGGGGAGTGTGCCCACCCTGGAGGGCTGGTGGTTAGTCCGTCCCTTCTGGCCTGAGGAGCCCCCAGGGCGCCTCTGCTCCTCAGCTATTTCCACAAATTGAAGTATTCACTGGGCTGGTGTGCTTTCTGTAACGTTCACTGCCACCCAGGAGCCCCGTGGGAAGAAGGTTAGTAGAGGCAGAAACAAACTCAGAGGCATGCAGCTGCACAGAGGCCAGCAGCGGAGAGGACCTGGCCTCAGCAGGAGCGAGGTGGGTCCCTGGAGGGAAGGTCTGAGGAGCCCAGGGGCTGAGGGCATGAGCACTAGGTGTCTTGGCAGATGCAGCTGGTGGCCTACAAGGTCACATCTGGAGAGTGGACCCTCCATGCTCTGTGTCACCACTGTTCCTGCTGGCAGCCCTCTAAAGGGACACTGCGTCGATCCCATGTCCCATGGACAGTGTGCAACACACGTGACACCCAGTGACTTAGTGCAGCGGTACTGGGGACGCGGCAACCACAAACACTCAAATGTGTGTGTGCCCGGGAGCTGTGCCCCTTCTGCAGGGCTAAGTCTGGCGGTCACTACCGTAGACAACCCCGGGCAGGGGCACCTGATACCAGAACTGATGAGCCAGGCCCGCTGCACAAGATGCACAGATGTAAAAAGAATCTGCACATCCTAATAGGCCACAGACTTGAGAAAACTTAAAAGCATCGTGATGAATTGTTTGTCAACTTGACATAAGCTAGAATCAGCCGAGAAGAGAGTCTCAATGTCTGTGCTAGGTTGGCCTGTGGCTGTGTCTATGGGCAATTGTCTTGAGTTCAGTTGGCCTGTGGTCACCCCTATGGGGATTGTCTTGAGTTAGGTTGGCCTGTGGGAATGTCTGTGGGGATTATCTGTGTTAGGTTGGCCTGTGGGTGTGTCTGTGGGGATTATCTGTGTTAGATTGGCCTGTGGGTGTGTCTGTGGGCGCTTGTCTTGAGTTAGGTTGGCCTGTGGGCATGTCTGTGGGCACTTGTCTTGAGTTAGGTTGGCCTGTGGGTGTGTCTGTGGGGATTATCTGTGTTAGGTTGGCCTGTGGGAATGTCTGTGGGGATTATCTGTGTTAGGTTGGCCTGTGGGCATGTCTGTGGGGATTGTCTTGAGTTAGGTTGGCCTGTGGGCACATCTGTGAGGGATTGTCTTGAGTTAGGTTGGCCTGTGGGTGTGTCTGTGGCGATTTTCTGTGCTAGGTTGGCCTGTGGGCACATCTGTGGGGGATTGTCTTGAGTTAACTGACATGGGAAGATCCCAGCCCAATGTGGGTGGCACCATTCTCTAGGCAGGGATTCCTGAACTGTGTAAGAGCAGAGAAACGGAGTTGGAGTTGAGCCAAGCAAGCAAGCAACCATTCATGCGTTTATTTCTCGTCTGCTCTTGACTGTATTTAAGACTAGCTTCTTAAAAGCCCACCACTGTGATTTCTCTGCTAGGATAAATCATAACCTGGAGTTGTTAGGCAAATAAACCCCTTTTCTCCTCGGTTTTTTTGGGGGGGGCATTTTATCACAGTACCAGAAATGAACCCAGAACAAAAAGTGCTAACGGCAGAGCGTAGTGGCACCCACCTGTCATCCTAGTGCAGGCAAGAGGCAGAGACGAGATGATTGTGAGTGCTAGATCATGCTGGGCTATAAAGTTCCTGGCCAGTCTCAGCTACCCAGTGAAACTGTGAAAACATAACCCCATGCTAAAAAAGAAAATAAAAAGGTGGAAGCATGTGACGGGGACAATAAAGTGACTTGGGAGAAAGTTCCAGTGCCAGCCCCCTTTCTCCGTGTGTCTCACTGGAGAGTGGACCTAGGGCCCCGTCACTAAGCTGTAGTCCCAGCCCCATTTCTCCTAAGGCTAAGTCACCCAGGCTGGCCTTGAACTTATAGTCCTGCTTCAGCCTCCCATGTGGATGGAGTTACAGGCCCGTGCCACCATGTCCAGCCAGTCCTGAGTCTTCTCAAACAGGTCTTGTTAGCCTCTGAACCAGGAGCTATGTAGTTTATTGTCTCTCTTGACTGATAGCCAGACAGACTAAGGCTACCTTGGATCCCACTGGGAACCTAGCACCCAGTAAGGATGTTCCCAGTCAGCTGAGGTCCTAGCCATGAGGAGCAATAGGGGGAGGCAGTAACTGTAGGCCAGGCATGCTCCAAATGGAACCTGGCTGAGGCAAGCTGACCATGTCATAGTCTAAGGCTTACATGGCCATTGGTCCTTCTCAGGCCTGCAAAGACTTCCTGGAACTAGCAGAGACTCACAGCCGGAAATGGCAGCGGGCTCTGAACTATGAGCAGGAGCAGCGCGTCCACCTGGAAGAAACCATTGAGCAGCTGGCCAAGCAGCACAACAGCCTTGAGAGGGCCTTCTGCAACACCCCCGGCAAGAGCCTCAGCGAGGGTGCGTGTGGAAGCGAGACTGATGGGCTGATGGACGGGTGGGCGGGCACACTGCAAGACTGATGGGCTGATGGGCGGGTGGGCGGGCACACTGCAAGACTGATGGGCTGATGGGCGGGTGGGCGGGCACACTGCAAGACTGATGGGCTGATGGGCGGGTGGGCGGGTGGGCGGGCACACTGCAAGACTGATGGGCTGATGGGCGGGTGGGCGGGTGGGCGGGCACGCTGCAAGACTGATGGGCGGGCACACTGCAAGACTGATGGGCGGGTGGGCGGGTGGGCGGGCACACTGCAGCCACACACTCAGCCCCTCTCCCCAGATGGCTCTGCTTTCTTCCTACTGTGCCTCTCAGGCCCTGTAAACTGTGCCTTAAAGTAGCCTCATGTCATGTGGGCTTGTCCTGAGGCGCGTAGACTGCCATCGGCAGTGCTGTATTCCTATACCTGCCACCAGCTGGCAGCGGCCCCTACCCACTGTGTTCCAAATGTTCAGTGAGCCCAGCTGTTCTCTCTGGGCCAGGACTGCCCAGGTGTCAGGTGGCCACCTACCTAACATCAGGTTAGGGACATCACAGGTCCCCTGGGCAGGAAATTTGGGCCGCAGGCAGGCTGAGCAAGCGTGGAGCAATCAGGACGTTTCTGGAAAGAAGTGAGTAAGCAACAATGAGTTGGGAGGAAAGTGCCCTATCCCAACAAAGCACGCAGGGCGGTCACAGTGCAGGGTAACCGGGGTCAGGTGTCTGGAGTGGGGCAGGCCAGGCTGGTGGGACAGGGTGAGGCTGCAGACTGAGCGGCTCTGTGTGTCTAGGAAGCTTCTTGACTTCCAAAGGCGAGAACAGTGAAGAAGATGAAGATACCGAGTACTTTGACGCCATGGAAGACTCTGCATCTTTCATCACCGTAATTACCGAGGCCAAGGAAGACAGGTAGGATACCTGTTGAGCACCGACGGCCCCTGTGGCCCGGGGCGGGGGTCCCCCTCACTGGGGCAGTGTCTCCAGCTGGTTCTTAAGCTACACCTGGCTTTTTGACCAACGGTACACTTGGGGTGCTCTTTAATCTCAAGCAAGATAGTATTGCTTATGTTCTATTCTCTGTTACATTAAAAAAAAAAATGTGTCTGAATGGTTTGTACCTGGAGGTTAGCCAGGGTACCGGCTAGATCACGTCCAGCCTGGAGGGAGAAAGTGGGGAGGGAAAGATTCAACAAACCCCAGCTGCTCAGACCAGCACTGGCGTGTCACCCCCTCCAGTGTCCCCATTTGAGAACAGTCAAGATGCCCAGTCTTGTTCTCTATTGCCAAGCCTGTTTTATAAAAGCCTCCTCATTTGGACTGTTTCTAAATTCACAGGTAAACATATAGTAGTGACCAGTGAGGGAGTCAGAGTGTCGGGTCCCGTAGGAAAGACACATGGTGTGATTCTCACTGACAAACAGGTACAGAAGGGGATGGGAAGCAGACAGACTGGACAGGAGCTGTGCTCAATGCTCAGGCTGTGGACAAGTCCCAGCCATTCTTTCTTGACCTGTAGCTGAGGCCGCCATGGATGAGCATGCTCCATCGTTTTCCCGTCCCAGGGTCTTCTGGGAAAAGGGCTGTCTAGCCCACAGTGTGTTGTTTTTAGCTCAGAAACTCTGTTACCCAGAAACTAGAGAGAGAGAGAGGGAGAGAGAGGGAGGAGAGAGAGAGGAGAAGGGAGAGAGGAGAGAGAGAAGAGCAAGAGCTCCAGGCTAGCCGGGACTACATAAAGGTAAGACATGATCTCAGTAGCGTCTTCACCCAGAGCTGGTGTAGTCTGGCCTTCTGAACTCCTGTCCATCTACCACCAGCAGAGCCGATCTTTATGATCTGCAAGCTGCTATCCTCACCCTGAGGGCTTTGGGCTCCCTATAGTCCCCTGGTCTTCCTGCCTTTCTCCTGAGGCCCTAGCTGCCTGGCTGACCCACATTGGCTGTCAGTAGGCTCCTAGAGCCTGGGCCCTCTGCCTTGGTGTCCCTGCTATGGCACTCTATTCCACAAGTGACAGGAGGTCAGGGACACATCAGCTCCATCCCGGAACTTAAGGACTCCCAGTGTGGGAAACAGATAAAGATGCACTTTCTGTCTGGGACAATGGGACCATTGGTTTCTATCAGGCTCTCCCAGACACGACACTCACCACTTGCCCTCTTCTTAGTCCTGGGTACAAGGGTCTCTAGGCAGTGAGTACTGACGGATGGAACTTTATTGTAGTGAGCAACCATGGTGGATAGGACCTCCCCAGATCACTGCCTGGGTCCCTCAGCCCTCATCTCGGTGTCCCAAACTAGACATGGCCCATTGGGTAAGATGCCTCTGGGCTGCCCTCATACCTCAGTGCTGTTTCAATAGAAGGTAGGCAGGGTTAGAGGTGGATGTCAGCCTTTGTCTGTAACGTGCTTCTCCGTTTCCTGCAGAAAAGCCGAGGGTGGATCTGTGGATCCAAACGCTGTGGACTGGACCTCAGCAGATAATGTACGTGAGGTGGGAGCATGCAAGGTCCAAGAGGTGACCAGGTGCCTCAGTTTCAGGGCTGGGGGTCAGCACTATGAGCCCAGGGCCACCTTTGGGTCCCAGACTTGCTTCCCATGTGGCAGACAGAGGTGGCTTCTGCCCTTATCACAAGGCAGTGTCACAGCATATGGCTGCCCACCAGCTCTTGGAGGGTCAGGAGCACGTGCGTGGACTCAGGGTCAGTGGAGCTCGGGGGTCTGCTGACGGCGTGCCTGCTTCTCTGGCAGATGTTAGACAGTGCCTCACTTGTGCCCAAGGATCCATGCAGAGTCAAGAGGCGAGCCCGCATCCCTGACAAGCCCAACTACAGCCTTAACCTCTGGAGCATCATGAAGAACTGCATTGGCAGGGAGCTCTCCCGCATCCCCATGCCGGTAGGCACCTCTGGGCAGAGATCATGGGGCTCCTGGGACGTGGTGCACATGAGACTGGGGGGGGCTTTCTTCCTGATACCTGAGGGGTGTGTGACTGGATCTTCATGTTCCTTAGATGACCCCACAGAGAACAGGGACCTTCAAACTGCAAAGGAGCCAAGGCAGAGCTCTATGTGATTATAGCTGGAGGGACCCCAGAAAGACCAATAGTGTCCCCACTGTCCTCACATGGTAAACGGGGGTGACAGATAAGTAGGCTTTGGGGGTGAAGAGGTAGTCCTTCATGGTGTACTCTTGGCAAATGGAGTCTCAGCAAGGTCATACAGCCATCCAAGGACATCTGGAGTCCTTGTGTCACTAGGCTATAGTATCATCTTCTCCAAGGAAGGACTTGGGAGCTCCTTACTGTGTGACACATGAGTCCTTTCATACTCTGGTCTCTGTGTCCACACTGCCCAGCTGAATTGTAGCACACACACACACACACACACACACACACACACACACACACACACTGTACACTCATATGCACACCACATATCTGGAGGGTAGAGTAGGATAATATTATCAGGGAATGCCTACTTTCCAGGGGAGCACAAGCCTGACTTTTCTGAAGCTAGTGGAGTCAATTCCCACCCATCCCGCACAGCATAAGAGCCCTTGACAGAACACCTAGTCCATGGTTCCAAACAAGGAGGATCTATGTCCTCCATCTGTGGACCCCTGGACTCACTGTTTCTGGCTTGGAGCTTGATGGCCCAGTTCTAATCACATGGTAGCCTGATGCCACAGCTTTTGTGGAGTAGACAATGCATATCGTCAGGGTGGCACCAAGTGGCATGTCAGCAAGTGACACGTGCTGAGGGGAAAGGGAAGGCAGACTGTGCTGGACATGGAATCTCACTGTGAAGGTGTCACTAGAGCAGGGATATCCCTCGCTGTCAGAGAGAGGAGGGGGCACTCTGATGGTCACCTCCCTGCAACACCCGCAGGTGAACTTCAATGAGCCCTTGTCCATGCTCCAGCGACTTACAGAAGACCTAGAGTACCACCACCTGCTGGACAAGGCAGTAAACTGTACCAGCTCGGTAGAGCAGATGTGCCTGGTAGCTGCCTTTTCCGTATCCTCCTACTCCACCACCGTGCACCGCATCGCCAAGCCCTTCAACCCTATGCTAGGGGAGACCTTCGAGCTGGACCGTCTGGAGGACATGGGCCTGCGCTCTCTCTGTGAGCAAGTAAGGCCTGGCGTCAGGTAGTGCTTGTTCACTCTGACCAGGTGGTATTTGGCAGGTTCAAGGTCATAGCAAGCCAAATGGGATACAGCCCGGGAGCCAGACGGAGCCTTTAGTTGGTGTCTAAGTGGGCAGCTGGGCCCCTAGTGGCAAGGTCGGGTCCAGAGTCTCCTAGACACAGCAGGGGGTGTGGGAGGAGAGCATGGTGTGACAGTCAGGCTGGTGCTGGGAGGGAAGGACAAATCCCCCAGCCAGGGAACGGGGGGGGGGCTGAAGAGTCCAGACAGGCTAGGGCATGGTTGGCACTGAGCTGAAAAGTGGCAGTGCAGTTGGGAAGGACACGTCCCTGGGCAGTATCCCTTCTACCAACTCTACGTATGGTCACATGGCAGCCGCTGCTGAACCAGGGTGCCCTTGTTGTAGGCCCAGGCCGCGGCGCTGCTCTGCCTCCGTGACTGGCCAGAACTCTGAAAGCTGCCTGAGTGGCTGCCAGTTTAGAGACACCCCAGGGCCCGGCAAGGACCTGTGAGGTGACCTACGTAACCAGCTCAGGGGTTCCATGGCTGAGCTTAAAACAGGACCCTGAAAACATGCTGACACTTTAGATGTGGGGGCCTGAACCCCACATGCCTTTACTCAGTCAGCGGTGAGTGCCCTGGAGGTTGTAGTCAGGGCACGGCTGGCACTGGAAACACAAAGCTGATGTTATCGCGGGCAGTGCTTCTAGCTGTTCGGGCAGAGCAGTTAGGAAAGCGGTCTGGAAAGGAGGGACCTGTGGAAAAGAGAGAAGGGTGTGGACAGGGAGAGCGGGGCAGGGAGAAGCCAGGCAGGCATCTGGATGATTTGCTGAGGAAGCAATGAGGAGCACGGGGAGGGGGCAAGGGAGAGTCCTCAGCATTCAGTGCAAGCAGCAGGGATGAAGCCGGGCCCTGAGACCAAAGTGGAAATGTCACAGGCACCAGGACCCCCACTGGGGCTGGGTCCCCACACTTGCTCCTAAGGCTCCCTCTAGTTGCACAAGTAAATGCCCCATCGCGGGTAACACCTGCGCTCAGGGACAGCGCCCCCATCATTCAGGGCAGGAGACAGGCTGTGTCTGTGGACTTCAATGCACAGGAGGCATACGGGTACCATTCGCAGAAACGGAGACAGTAATCATGGGGGAGCATTGGACTCACTGAATCCCTGAGGGGAACATAGAGACAAGGCTCAGCCCTGAGACGGTGAGGCACCCTGTAGAGTAAGGAGGCTGGGTCAGACAGAGCCTGGCTGTTGTGGAATCGGGAGGGGCACCATAAAGAGTCATGGCACTGCCACTCTATGGAGGAACAGGGCCAGCAGACCGGTACCCTGGGAGCACGGGGGCAGTCAGGAGTGTTCTGTGGCATATGAGGGGGAGTTCTGTGGTACTGGGGACCCTGGTGTAGGGAGCACACAAGGCAGGGCACCAAGACAGCTCCCACCCTGAAGTCAGACCAGATTCTTTCCCTCACCTAATATGCTTCTGCCAGCGTGTCCCCAACCTGTGCAGCCAGCCTGAACTACATGCGCCTGCCGGACACATGGCGTTACTTTTATACTGCTGTGATAAAACATTGTGAAGGAAAGTTTAGTATGGCACAGAGTTACAGATTAGAGCTTATACAGTAGAGGCGTGGGGCTTATGGGGCAAGGGCAGGGAGGCAGGTGACCAGAGCGGCAGCAGAGAGCTCACACCTTATCCACAACAAGGGGCAGAAGCAGAGAGGGGGGGAGAGAGAGAGAGAGAGAGAGAGAGAGAGAGAGAGGAGAGAGGAGAGAGGGGAGAGAGAGAGAGAGAGAGAGAGCAGAGAGAGAGAGGAGAGAGAGAGCAGAGAGAGAGAGAGAGGGGGGAGGAGAGGAGAGAGAGAGGGGGGAGGAGAGAGAGAGAGGAGAGAGGGGGAGGGAGAGAGAGGAGAGGAGAGAGAGGAGAGAGAGAGGGGAGAGAGAGAGGGAGAGAGAGAGAGAGAGAGAGAGAGGAGAGAGAGGAGAGAGAGAGACAGGAGACGGGAGAGAGGGGAGAGAGAGGAGAGAGAGGAGAGGAGAGAGAGAGAGAGACAGGAGACAGGGGAGAGAGGGGAGAGAGAGGAGAGAGAGAGAGAGAGAGAGAGAGAGAGAGAGAGAGAGAGAGAGAGAGAGAGAGGGAGAGAGAGAGAGAGAGAGAGAGAGAGAGAGAGAGAGAGAGAGAGAGAGAGAGAGAGAGAGAGAGAGAGAGAGAGAGAGAGACAGGAGACAGGGGAGAGAGAGAGAGAGGAGGACAGAGAGAGAGAGAGAGAGAGAGAGAGAGAGAGAGAGAGAGAGAGAGAGAGAGAGAGAGGGAGAGAGAGAGAGAGAGAGAGGAGAGAGAGACAGGAGACAGGGGAGAGAGGGGAGGTGAGAGGGGAGGAGAGAGGGGAGAGAGAGGAGAGAGAGGAGAGGAGAGAGAGAGAGCAGGAGAGCAGGCCTGGGCTTTTTAAACCTCAGAGTCCAACCCCAGTGACACACCTCCCTGAACAAGGCCCCGCCTCCCAGTCCTCCCCCAGCAGCGCCAAGCTTCCTCCTCCTCCTCCAGATCTCCACATGTGGTAAGGATTAAACCAGGCAGGCGCAGAAAGCAGCCCCTTCCACTTCCTGGGCACAGACTCTGCCTCCCCTGCCCCACTGTTTGCCAAGAGCAGGCAGGGGCTTCTCACCCTTGCCACACCCCGTGGGCTGGGCAAGCCCAGGGTGGATACTGGCAGGCTGCCCTTCCTCTCTCCTGGGGACCTGCCTTGGATGAGGGTCACTAAGAGGAGCAGTGGCCTGGGCCACTCTGGGGTACATGGGCTGGAGCCTGGACAGGCTGCCCTCCCCTGGGTCGTCTGTGACTAGCTGTGCTCACGCCCTGCTGGTCTGTCCCAGGTGAGTCACCACCCCCCATCTGCTGCCCACCACGTGTTCTCTAAGCATGGCTGGAGCCTCTGGCAGGAAATCACCATCGCCAGCAAGTTCCGGGGGGAAATACATCTCCATCATGCCACTTGGTGAGCTGGGGCTTGGGGTTCCAAAGATAGGAAGATGTTTGGCTTCAGAGGGAGGGCTTTGTACATCTAAAACCCAGTCTTGGCCCCCCTGGGGGGCTGCACTGCCCATGTCCACTGCCCCCTGATCTCTAAGCCTATACCCCACCCCCTCAAAGCCTCCCAGATGTTCCTCTGGTTCTTGACCCTGAGCCTGTGGGTGACCTGACCAGAGCCCAATTGAGGGATCCATGACCTCTGACCTGTCTGGCCACCAGGTGCCATCCACCTAGAATTCCAGGCCAGTGGCAATCACTACGTGTGGAGGAAGAGTACCTCGACTGTGCACAACATCATCGTGGGCAAGCTCTGGATTGACCAGGTCAGGGGGGGCCTTAGGGAGATGGGGTCTATAGCCCATGGTGGTGGCTGACCGCCACCTGCTCTCTCTAGTCAGGGGACATTGAGATTGTGAACCACAAGACCAAGGACCGGTGCCAGCTAAAGTTCGTGCCCTACAGCTACTTCTCCAAAGAGGCAGCCCGAAAGGTAACTAGGGCCACTCCCGGGACCCCGTGGGCCCAGAGCAGAGTGTGTGCTTATGTGCCCTGCCACTGTTTGCAGGTGACTGGAGTGGTGAGTGACAGCCAGGGCAAGGCCCACTATGTGCTGTCAGGCTCATGGGACGAGCAGATGGAGTGCTCCAAAATCGTGCACAGCAGCCCCAGCTCTGACGGGAAACAGAAAACCGTGTACCAGACGCTGCCCGCCAAGCTGCTGTGGAGGAAATACCCACTGCCGTGAGTCAGGCCAGGGGGACAGCTCTGGGGGTTAGGGACCAAGAGAGAGGCAGAGAAAACGAGGGCGAGGAGGAGACAGGCCTAGGACCACCCCTGCCCTGCCCAGCAGGGCGCATAGAGGTCTGGGGATTTCAGTGCAGCAGAGAGCAGGGCCAGGAGGCCATCGTCGCAGGGCAGGAAGTGTCTGCCCAGCGGCACGTGGCCATAAAGATACTCAGTGGCCGCGCGCACGCTATGCCAATACTTTGAGTAAAGTGACAGGGTAGACGCCTTCCCTGCAGTGCCACAGGAAGTAAAAACAAGCTCGACATAACTCACAGGAACCTGGCCGAGACACTCACAGTGAAAACAAAAGGGGAAAATCTACAAAGGAAACATAGCTGAAGTGGAGAATCCACAGCAGGGTGTGAGAAGAAATGTGTCCCTGCCTGAGTGCTGGAGCTGGGAGCCAGGCACAGAGGAGCACCTGCAGCCCCAGCTCTCAGAAGGTGGGGAGGGAAGGGCTGCAGGTTCGGGGCCAGCCTGAGCTGCACAGTGAGGAACTGTCTCAAGAAGCCAGGAGGGAGACCTAGTCCTCGGTCACCCCTGGGAGCCCCAGAGCACCTCATGAACTCCTAGGCTCCTTGGGGGCCTCATAAGGTCCACGTATCGAATCGAGCGTGCTTCTGGCCCAGAGACCCAGAAGGAGACAGGTGCCGCCGGAGAGACAATAGCCGAGGGCTTCCCCATCTATTAAAGTAGCAGTTTAGTCCCCCCCTCCCCACTCAGGTCACTATTTAGCCAAGGTTGGCCTGGGACTTGCTGTGTAGCCCTAGCCTCAAATTTGTAATCCTCCTGCCTCGACCTCCCAAGTGCTGGGATTTCAGTCATGTACCACTCTGCCTTGGCCCCAAGCAGCCAGATTCTTAGAAAGACATTACTTGTTGAAACCTGCACCCCAACATCTGTCTTAAGCAATAATGGGGGCCTAAAGGCAGCCAGATGGCATTGTGCAGGTGCAGGGGGCGGGGTACCTCCATCCTTCCGTCATCACCAAACTAACATATTCTTCTGGATTCGCACGAGGGAAGTGAACATGAAAATGGGAAGGAGGTAGACTGGGAAAATAAACAAAACAGACCACTTTCCTGAAGGCGCAGACACACTCAGTGGCAGCACACCAGTGTTCTTAGCATATAAAACCTCCTTCTGGCGGTCCCAGCGCAGGGGACAAGTTCCCAGATTAAAAAAGCAAAGAGATGAAGACAGGCCTTGGGTCAAAAGAACTCACAGAATGGTCAGGTAAGAGATAAAGAGCATGTTCATCTAGAACCTGCTGTAGTCAAATGGCCTAAGGCGGGAGAATCGCCAGTTCAAGGCCAGCCTAGGCTACAAACGCTGCCTCAGGAAAAAAAGTCAGTGTTTCAATTTATCTTAATTTTTTCTTTTCTTTTATGTATGGATGCCTGTATCTCTGTGCACCACCTGCATGCAATTCCCTAAAGGGCCAGAAGAGGGCAGACGATCACTTGGGACTGGGGAATTACAGGCAGGTGTGAGCTGCCATGTGGGTACTGAGGATTGAACTCAGGTCCTCTGGAAGAGCAGCCAGTGCTCTTACCCATTGAACTATGGCTCCAACCCCTCAATTTATTTTAAACAATAAGGACCTCAGAACATTTTGAAGACCAGAGAAAAGACCTGCCTTACTGACTCGCAGGTCTCTGAGGTTGTAATAGAATGGAATCCTGTGCCCAGAAATATCCTTGCAGGTTTATGCGTCTCTGAGACATGGCAGAGGCGCAGCAGATCCTTTGGAAAGATGAGAGTGCTCACTAAAAGAGCTGAGGCAGACAGAATCCGTCCTACGAGGAAAGGGAGCCTCTCCCCCACATCTTGCATTATAACAAAATTTAACTTCAGACAGCATCTCCCAGTGAGATCAAGTCTGCCTGGCTGTTAGGCAGTAACACTCTGGATGTAAAACTATAGGAGACCATCTTCTAGCTCCGGTGAAAATGTATCATAGCACACACAAAGAGATGCCATGCTGATGCGCTTACGTTTACCAGAGTGCTTCTGTTCGTTACAATGAGTTTTGGCAATTAAAAGACACTTTATGCCAGGTGTGGTGGCTCACGCTGCATTCCCAGCAGCTGGGAAATAGAGACAGCTTGCTACGCAGTGAATTTGAGGCCAGCCTCAGCTACATAAGACCCTGCCTCAAAAAATTAAAATTAAAAAGTATGGAGGAAAGGTCAATAATGCATCCACTGCACCTGTACGTGGCAAAGGGTTACTGTCAAGAACAAAGAGTCTTGTGATGCAGCCTTTAATCCCAGCACTCAGGGGGCAGAGGAACTCTGTGAGTTCGAGGCCAACCTGGTCTACATAGTAAATTCCGGGTCAGCTGTAAGTACATAGTAAGTTAAGATCCTGTTCATTTCTGTTCTGTTGCTGTGAGGAGACACCATGGCATGTCTCTGTGAAGAGACAGCCTATAAAGGAAAGCGTTTAATTGGGGCTGGCTTACAGCTCCAGAAGGTCAGTCCATCGTCATGATGGGGCATGGCCGCAGGCAGACATGGGGCAGCAGTGGATGTCAAGGGTTTGCATCCTGATCTGCAGGCAGCAGCAAACAGAAAGAGAGGGAGGAAGGGAGAGAAGGAAAAATAAAAGGAGCTAGAGACTGGGCCTAGCCTGGGCTTTTGAAACCTCAAAGCCCACCCCCAGTGACACACCCCCTCCAACAAGGCCACACCCCCTAGTCCTCCCAGGTAGTTCCACCGCCTGAGAACCAAGCATTCAAGTATGAGCCTATGGGGGCCACTCCCTTTCAAGCCACCACAGTTCTGTCTCAGAAACCAACAAACAGAAAGCAAAACAACAACAAAAAGCCAACCAAATAAGTAAATATTTTAAAGTAAAGGCTGCGTACTCACTTATGATCCCAGCACAGAGGAGACTGAGGCATGAAGGTCTTGAGTTCAGGGGGAACCTGGGATACATAGCAAGACCCTGTCTCAAAAAATGCAGAAAGAGGAAAACGAGTTGGGGTTATAGCTAAAGTCAGGGATAAAGTCTGATTAGCATGTATGAGGCCAAACCCCAGCACCAAAAATAAATAAGAGTATTTTATCATAAAAATAATTTAAGAGTGAGAGTAGTAACTCACAACTGTAATCCCAGCATTCTGGAAGCTGAGGTGGGGGCCGCCACAAGTTAGACGTCTGGGCTGCATTGTGGGTCCCAAGCCAACCTGAGCTACAGAATGAGACCTGTCTCAAAAAGCCGAAAATAGGGGCTGGAGAGGTGTCTCAGAGGTTAGATGTGACTGCTGCTCTTGAAGAGAGCCTGGATTCAGTGCCAACGCCTATGTCCAGTGGCTCACAGACACCTGCAGCTCCAGCACGGGGATCTGAGGTCTTCTGGCTCCCTGGGGCAGCCACACTCGCACACGCAGGAACCCACATGCAGATATATACATTTTTAAAGAAAAAATATAAATCATATCATTTAAAATTAACATATAAATAACCTGTGTTCAACAAATACAGAAAAATTAATCCAATAGGGAAATGTGCCAGGGTCGTAATTTGAATTTCACACAAGACAGTGTGACCAGTTGTGAGAAAACCATCACACAGGTCAGCGAACGCAGCTGAGAGCTCTGAGCTCCGGCCTGGCGCGCTCCCAGAACCACACCAAAACAGCTTTTTAAAAAGCCCAACAGGAACTGGGGAAATGCAAACCCAAACCCCACAAGAAGCCATTTTCTGTTCATTTGATTAGCAAAATGAAGTAAGCGGCCCCGGCTGGAGATTTAAGCTGTCGACATCTCTGCCGAGCAGGCTGTACACTAGTAGAACTGCCTTGGAACCACCCAGACCCCATGTCTTGAAGAACCATCCCACTCTGTGGCCGTCCCCCCACCCCCATCTCTAGTAGGCAGAGAAAAGCACGTTTGCTTGCAGTGCGAAGGATAGAGCATCAGGGAACCTAGGTCCCAGAGTCAAGCCTGAGGCATCAGTATAGTGTCTTGGAACCAAACCCCTGGTGTGTATCCTCCAACGTGACACTGTGAGTGGGAAATTCCACAACGGATGTCACAGTGCAAGTACACTCACAACGCTGTGGTATGTCACCCTTAGGCCGTGCTTGGGATACAGCTGGAACACACGTGTGTTTCCTATTTACACTGAAGTCTCAGTCCCAAGATAGCTCGTTATGTCTACTTAATACCCCAAACTCCCCAGCATTTTGGAAAAGTGTGCAGCCTGAAATTACAATAAGCGCTCCAGCCTCGGCATAAAATTGAGACAAGTTTTTTAAAACTCCCAGCTAATCTACGAAAGATATGCTTGAATAAGAAAATAAAGAGCGGGGCTGGAGGGATGGCTCAGTGTTAGGAGCACTGGCTGCTCCTCTCGGGACGCAGTCAATTCCCAGCCCTCCATGCGTGTCATGCCGTCACTCCAGTTTCAGGGACTCACGACACCAGACATGTACATGGTGCTTGCAGGCAAAACACCCACACATAAAGCAAGTAAATCCCTTTTTTTTTAATTTTGAAAAAGAGACAGGGATTAGAAGATATGTCCACACACCCAAGCAAGCTCCCCCAGAGCCGGAGGGCGGCACAGAGCAAACTGCAGCAAAAACAGCCATCAGGAGCACTGATGACAACGCTCAGTAGGTCACCAGGCCCGTGAGTTTTCAATTGGAACAGACCTTGCCCCCAACAACGCAGCCTCAAAATACAGTTAGCATAGGGTGATAGAAAAAGGGACCAAGTTACGTCCTGCGTGGGGAATCATGGAAAGGAAAACCAAAGCATTAGGTCTGAACAACAGAAATCACTAGCTAGCCGTAGAGCACCGTGCCACCCGACTGCTGCAACTTGCCGGAGACCGAGCCACTGAGCACAGTTCAAAGCAGTAAGAATGCACCAGCGCTTACCGTTTGACTCTAGAGCAATTACATAGAGTAAAAAACAAACAAGCAAACAAAACCATGGCTATACCTTTAAGAAATGTGCTTCAAACTAATCCTTGGGGCAGAGAAGATACGATGAAAGCCTGCAAATAGACCTTGGATGATTACAAGGCCATGCTTGGAGTGAGTGACAGGCAGCTTTGAAAAGTGGATCACACCTGAAAAACGGAGTAACAACGAGACAAGCGTCCATCCCCAGGCAGAGAACCAGAGGAAAAGGCCATTCTAGCCACTAGGAAGGAATGCGGTGCGGGAAGGAGCATGATGCGAAATAAAGCAGAAACCCCTAGAGAGGGACAAAGTTTTATCGCCAGCCAATGAACACACAAGCCGCTCTGACCTGGGTATTCAAAATCGCCAAGGCGCTACAACCGACATAGCTGTGCTTGGATAAAACAGAAGAATGGGGGGAAACCTTAGACTGATAAACGAGGCACCGATTTAAAGGGAAAAAAGAAAAAGAAAAGAACAAATCCCCGGAGAAGCATAGCGAAGCAGTTGCTTGTGGGTGTGAGCGTGCTGAGTGAGGGCTGTAGAGGGCGCGTCCGACCCAGCTGGTGGGCTTTGCAGGCTGGGTTCCTGATGGGTGAGCAGGAGCCCGCTAGGGAAGGGTCTCCCGGGTCGCTCACGCTGCCGCGTCGCCGCCACAGGGAGAACGCGGAAAACATGTACTATTTCTCGGAGCTGGCCCTGACCCTCAACGAGCAGGAGGACGGCGTAGCGCCCACCGACAGCCGCCTGCGGCCGGACCAGCGACTGATGGAGAAGGGACGCTGGGACGAGGCCAACACGGAGAAGCAGCGGCTGGAGGAGAAGCAGCGCCTGTCCCGCCGACGGCGGCTGGAGACGTGCGCGGCGGGCTGCGGCGGAGAGGATGGTGAGCCCAGAGCAGAGCATTGGGGGGGGCGGGTAGTGGGGGATGAGGAGGGGTAGAGGGGGGCGAGCCCCGGGCTTGGCCAGGGCAGCGTGCAGCTCACCCCACCCGCTGTGCCTGTCAAGCAGAAAAGGAGTCAGAAAGCTATGCGCCCCTGTGGTTCGAGAAGAGGCTGGACCCGCTGACCGGGGAGATGGCCTGCATGTACAAGGGCGGCTACTGGGAGGCCAAGGAGAAGAAGGACTGGCACATGTGCCCCAACATCTTCTGAGCCTCTCCTGCGGCAAATATAGGCGCCTGCACAGCCCCTCGGCCTATCTTTTTAATGCACCCAATTTAATACTGGACACGCACGCAGGCACACACACACACACGCACGCACGCGCGCATGCACGTACACACACACACACACACACACACACACACACACTTTTCCTAAAAGGGGCTCCCACCTTAGAAGGGGTAAGGGCTGACCTGGGTTTTCTCCAGCCCCCAGGTCGCCAGCCTGTTATCGTTGACTTGGGCCCCATGGGCACCCTTGTTCCCAGTTACCCCAACTCAGGCGGACTGGCTGGGCTATGGGCTGCTCAGGTCACTAACCCCAACCCAGGGAGGAGCTACCCCCTCCTAGGGAGGCTCTTTTGCCTTTTTAAAGAAAAATCTCCATTTCTTTGTGAGGGTAGGGACTTAACTATTTGTAAGCACACCGCTTAGAAGACTTGCTTTCCAAGTGTGTGTTCTTGACACCAACTGTCCTGACCGGAAATGCTCTTTGGAAGACTTAAGGAAGCCAGGCCCCTTTGAGTGGGGCACCTCTAACACACAAGGCCTGCCTAAGCTCCAGGAGCCCAACAGACGCAGAGGCAGCAGGAAGCCCGTCTGGCCCGCATGGCCGCCAGGAAGGCGTGCAGGGTCCCTGACGGACAGGACAGCCCATGGTGAGAGTAGGGAGGCAGTTGAAGGCAGCCCCCATGTGGGCTGAGCTGCAGCCCCTGCCAGGCCTGGGCCATGCTGCATGCTGGGACAGTGCCCCAGCCCCCAGAAGGCAGGAGGGCAGAAAGGCAGGGTCATAGGTGCTTCCTGCCCAAGAAACCAGGCCCCCAAATCAGCAATAAGGAACCAACCCCTCACTCAGCCTCCCGGCCTCCCGCCTCTAGGCGGCATCAGGGTCCTGTCTCAGCACTCCTGACATCCTTATTTGCCTACTTTATATATATTATATATAAATATATATAAAATAGCTATTTTGCTTAAATTTCTATGGTATGTGAAAGTGAAAGATAATGAAGACAGGGCGTGCCTGTCTGAGTTTGGCCTCCTCCCCGCTGTGCCCTGGCCCTGTTCCTGTACCCTTCTAGTGACCTCTGCCAACCCTAGAAATGAACACGTCCCTCAGACCCTCTGACTCCAGCCCGTCCCACTTCAGTTTGGCCTGAAAAGTTCACTGCAGGGCCTTTCTTTCTACTCCAGGGCTGGTTTTTTATTAAAAAAAAAAATGAAAACACCAAGTGTGAAATGCCTTACAATGCCCACTCCAGAAATGGGGGATGAGGAGGAGAGGTGGAGGGGGAGGCACCAGTCTCCCTCAGAGCTGGGATGCACCTCTTCCCAGGGGCTGAGCAAGCACCTTCTGAGCATAATAAAACCTTGGTTCTGGAGTTTCCCACAGCCTGTCCCAGAATCTGTCTGTGACTAGATGAAGTGTGACTTCTGAAGGTGACAGCCGTGTGGGGTGGGGTGAGGGGCGGAGGCTTGGGGCTCTCTCCTGCTCAGTGCCCAAGCTGCAAGAGGTGAGTCTGGAGTGAGGAGGGAGAAAACCTGAAGGGACAGGTCTCAAGGGACAGAGGGACAGCAGCAACTGACCAGAGACACAACCCTGTACCACCACAGCCACAGGACCCAGGTCTTTCTTACAAGTCACACAAAGCCACCGGCAGCGCCTCCTGGCCTTCATTCCTAGACGTGTCTAGGTAGAGGCACCACGGGGCCGTGGGCCCCACAGCCCTCTGTAAAGGCTGGTGAGTACCGTGCTGCCTGACAGCTGTGGCCTGGGCAACGTCTGTTGTCCTGTTGCCGTGCTGCTCAGACCGCTGACTTCTGAGCCGCGGGCCAAGATGTTTCCAGGTGGGGGGAGTGGAGCTGGGCACCGCAGACGCCAGAGCCGGGGCTCCCCAGCTGCCCTGAAGCCGAGCACCACAGGCTCTAGCAGGGCCCCAGAAAGAGCCTTCCCAGCCCCCTCCATCCCTGGATAGGTATGAACAGGAGAGGCAACCCTGTGATTTACCAACTCAGAGGGCAAGGGAGGGGACAGGGCACACCCGGCACAGCCCAGGGAACACAAAGGCCTGCATGCCGAAACAGAGAGATGCCGAGAGCCAGGGATGGACCAGCAGAACCCTGAGCAGGGAGGAATAGCAACACAATGTTCTAGAAAGATTGACCTACGCTCTGCTTCCCTGTATGACAGCTCCTCTAAGAAGGAAATGCATTTCTAAGGAAAGGGCGGGGCTGCCATGGAAGCTGGCTTGGTAGGGTCTCAGCATCAGGCAGATTCATTCTCCCAAGCAAAACTTGCAATCACTGGACCACACGAATCCTTCCTGGGGTGGTAAAGTAAATGAAGGGGTCTGGGGATGGCTCAGTAGATAAAACACTCACCACGCAAGCTGAAGGGTCAGAGGTTGGGTCCCCAGAACCCATGAAACCCCGGCAAGTACGGCAGCCACCTGTAATTCCAGCACTGAGGTAACAGATGGGGCTGGCATAGCAGAGAGCAAGCTGGTTCACTAGGCCGGCTGACTGGCGAGCTTGGGTTCAGTTGTGAAGCCGTGCTTGAGGAAGCCATTCAGCATCCAAGTGGGGCCTCTGTGGGTACGCGCACGCACTTGCCATGCACATCTTGACAATTGCATGCGACACGCAGAGTACAGTACGATGTTGATATCGGCTGGATGAGGTGACAGATTAAACCAGCAAGGAAGTCGGAACAACAGGAAATGTGCTTACACCACAGAGGCAGAGTGTTTCAGTGACCCATTGGAAAGCTGGTGTAGTGCCGGAAGTCGAGAAGCTGCAGACGCACAGCAAGGGGAGGGGAGACAAAAGCGCCCCCCCCAGCACAACAGTGCGACACTCTGTGTGATGCCAGCGGACATCGGCATGAAGACGTAGCGAACTGTGGGGTGGGTGCAGACCCGGCAGCAAAGGCCTCCGAAACAGCGTGGGCATACGCACGGTAGCAGGGAGAGTGTCCAAGAGTGGCAGGTGTGAGAGCCAATCAGGTGACTCAGAGCTACGCAGGCCACTGAAGTGGAAGCTAGGCTGCCACTTCAGACACAGGCTAGAGTGTATCCATGCTCTATAGCCCCTCAAATCTCTCCTCTTAATTCCTGCCCCCTCTTTCCTTTTCCATTGTCCTCTCACGAAGAACACAGGCTGACCTAGGGGTGGTGACCTCTGTGGCCCCTCAAGAATGGGGAATGTCATTCATCATTGGACTACAAACCTTCACACCTTCTCTATTCAGCCAACTTTTAGCCAAGGCTGCCTCGACTCCCTTTGTCCTGAACCATTCCCTCCCCCACTTTTTCTGTCAACTCAATACCAACCACTAGGCTCTCCCTGAGCTTCTGTTTTTCCTTTCCACCCACACCCAAAGTCACTAATACAGCTATGACACCACTGTCAGTGGTCCTTTCTTCCTAAGTGGTCAGTGCTTACCGGGGATTCTTTGACGAAGACTGTACTTTCACCACAGGCTCTCATCTCTAGTCGTGACTTTTGGCAGATAATAGTGTAATAGCAAGTGAATACTGGGGACCATGCCCCTTGCCCTGACCACATGTCTAGCTGAGGAAAATGTCACCACAACCAGAACAGTTCATTCAGTGTAATACTCTCTCTGAAAGAATAAGAGATTTAAAAGTTTTTTTTTTAATAAACTCAACCAATGACTGAACTCAAGATATTCAAGCCAGGCAGTGGTGGCACACACCTTTAATACCAGCACTCAGGAGGCAGAGGCAGGAGGATCTCTGTGAGTTCAAGGCCAGTCTGGTCTACAGAGTGAGTTTCAGGACAGCCAGAGCTACACAGAGAAACCCTGTCTTGAAAAACAAAAAATAAAATAAAAATAAAGTCCCAATGCAAAACCACAAGTAACATGAAAACCAAGGCAACATCACTCCCCCAAATTACTAATCATCCTAGAGCAGTGGCCTCCACCAAGAGTGAATCAAATGAAATCCCAGCAAAGAACTCTAAAAAAGAAGATTAAATAAACTCCACAGTTCAGGAGAGCACGGATAGCAGCATGAAATAGGCCAATACAAGATCTGAAAGAGGAAGTCAAGAAATGCAATGAAAAGAAAACCTGAAATCCTGGAAATGAAAAGTTAAGCATAAAGTGCAATGGAAAGGCTCACCAGCAGAGTGAATCCAAAGAAAGAACAGAGTATCTGAGTCGGAAGACAAAGAAGAGGACGTGGGACATCCCAGCAAGGACAAAGACAATGATGTATAAGCAACACTTTAAAAGGGATGCAGGCAAGACTTCTAAAGGCATCAACAACATTTTCAATAAAACCATAAGAGAAACTTTCCCAAAACTAAGAAAAAAATGTTGTAATTCATACAATAAGAGACATTCAGAACTTCCAACAGACAGGACCAGAAAAAGTGTGATAAGAAGCCCCTGGACAGCCGGGTGATGGTGGCGCATGCCTTTAATCCCAGTACGCAACAGGCAGAGACAGGCGGATCTCTGTGAGTTTGAGACCAGCCTGGTCTATAAGAGTTAGTTCCAGGACAGCCTCCAAAGCCACAGAGAAACCCTGTCTTGGAAAAAGAAAAAGAAGCCCCAGGACATTGACCTTTCCCAGAGGGGCCCTGAGGATGGGCCAAAGTAATGATCCTACCCAAGGTTCATCTTGATGAACCAATGAGTTTATTGGGCTTACATACAGAGCATGGGTGAGAAACTCACTGTGGGAGGTTGGGTGACCCCCAAACAATGGACTCATGGCAAAGTTCCACTCCCTCATGGGTGACAACCTCATGGAAGCTCCGTCCCGGGCTACTTTGTTCAGTTAACTTCCCACTTGCTTTGGCATCTCCCAAGATAACTTACAGCAGAGGAGGAGGAGAAACTGAGAGCCTCGGTGAGGGTCTTGTGACCCTTACCTCCTCCATCTGCTGGAGAGTATCATAACTCAATTACCATTTACCATAGACATGGGTACTACTGTATTGTTCTGTTCTATTTGCCATAGCTACCGGAGACCAAGTTCAAGACGGCCATACAACCAGAGAAGAAAATGGCCATACAGCAGACAAGATGTGTATAAAGCCAGACCCATGAGAATGACAAATTCCTCAACACAAAGTTTAAGAACCAGGCTTTATAAAGCAGTTTCCTCCAAACCAAAACATTCCCTCCAGGAGGAGAAGAAGGTTCATTAACTCCAGAAGAAGCTTTCTTCTTCTTTTTCTTCTCTTTGGTTCTTTCAAGACAGGGTTTCTCTGTATGGCTTTGGAGCCTGTCCAGAAACTCGCTCTGTAGACCAGGCTGGTCTCAAACTCACAGAGATCCGACTGCCTCTGCCTCCCGAGTGCTGGGATCAGAAGAAGGCTTCTTAAAGGCCCCCAGTAAACATCTGGTCAACTAATCTGGAAAGAGATTCTTGGACCTGTTGAGTTGCTTATAATTTATGCAAAGATCTCCAGGGTTGCAACTTTCATGAGCCCTCACCTAATTAATTAAGCCCACCAAATGGAATTTCTGGTAATGTATAATCCTTGAATTATCCTTACTCCTATAAGTAATCCCTTATCCATACCCAAAGAAAAACTCATTTGCTCACCAACTTGGACTTTGGTGCAATCAAGACTTTGGCCTACCATGAGTTTCCCCTTTGGAATGAATGGATGTGTGTATGTTGAATCCCCCAAGGAAAAGTCTCCGACACACCACCAGGAGGGTTTGGACTGATTTATTTCAAGTCCTGAAAGACAACCATCAAACTAGACTACTATACCCAGCCAAACTATCTGTCTTAATTGAAAGATACAAGCTTTCCACATTATAAACAGGTTAAAGGAATTCATGACCAGCAAGCCATCTCTACAGATGCTTGAAGAGAAAAACAAATACATATACAATGCCACAGAAAAGAATTATCAACATTTGATTAAGAAAAGAATAGGAAAACAAACACTAGAGTCAACAAAATGACAGGACTTAATACATAACTTTCAATAAAAATAATTAATGGCCTCAATTCCCCTGTCAAAAGACACAGGCTAGTGAATCAAAAATCAGGATACATTTATTGTCTTAAAAAGAAAACCCACACATCTCACTATAAAAGATGGATGCTACCTTGGTATGAGAGAATGGAAAAGGTATTCCACACAAATGGAAAAAGGAAGCAAGCAAGCATCACTGTTTTAATACTGACAAGATAGACTTCAAGTCTAAACTAATAAGAGAAGCCAGCATGGTGGGGCACACCTTAATCCCAGCACTCGGGAGGTAGAGTGTGTGTCTGAAGACAGCCTGGTTTACAGAGTGAGTTCCAAGACAGCCAGGGCTGCTACACAGAGAAACCCTGTCTCAAAAACAAATGAGTAACATTTAAAGAGAGATGAACAGAGACTGACCAAGGGAC